CCTATTCAGACTCTCCCTATAGCTCAAACCCAGCAACCCTGGCAACAAGACTTGTAAATCTTTTCCGAACTCTTTCAAGTTTCACATCTTTCCTAGAGACCAGAGTTGAACGCAGTATTCTAAAAGTGGCCTAACCAATGTCCTGTACAGTCGCAATATGACCTCCCAACTCCTATACTCAATGCACTGATCAATAATGGCAAGTGTAGCCAAATGTTTTTGAATGGTGGAGCAGGTTTGAAGGGCCAAATGGCCCAAAGCTCCTCCTAAATGGTAAGGTCTGATGTTCATATGTTTACACCACACTTGTGAGCATTCTGGGGTCAACTAGTGATCTGCTAAGAATTTGGAAATGAAAGACAAGCCGAACTTCTATCTGATACATCGGGCAAAACTGCATAATTTAAAGATATCCATCTCCTTTAACTTACTAATATGCAATACAAACTGCAACATTGTGATTCCTCATGCATTACTTATAAGGATGCACTGTTCTCCTTGTTCAGCCTGACATGGAAATGTAGAACATATACAGAGGACTGAGCAGCAGGATTTGTCATTTGTCCCTGGAGTCAAAAAAGGACGATGTGACCTATGAGTTTTACACCCGCTGGATTTTTATCTTGAACACTTAATAGATCTCTGTTCTCTTTATACAATATACCAAACTAATATTTAACTCAAATTTGTTCAGCCCAGAGTGGGACATGGGGTGAATGTCTATCAATTTTAGAATCCAATTTAAATGGCTACCTCAAGCTAATCACAATGACACTAAGAGGGCAATCTCTCGCAAAGGATCATTGAATCATGCAACACAGCAAGGAGGCCAGTCAGCCCATCAACTCTCTAGTAGTTTATTAAAGAGCTACCAATTAGTCCAATTCCTCTGCACTTCCTCTATGGCTGTGTATTTTTTATTATTCTTTTTAAGCAGATATGTAATTCCATTTTGGAAGTTATTAATGAATCTATTTCTGTCACCCTTTTAGGCAATGTCTTCTAGATCATAACAACCCACATCCAAGCATTATCATCAATTATTTTAAACGTGTGCCCTTAGGTTACTGTCTCTCCTGTTAATACAAACAGTGTCTTCAAAGCAGCCAGAGGTGGGTGAGTCGGGTGGGGGTTGGGGGAGGGGGGCATCGTTGGCTCTCAGGGACATGAGAAATTTCAAACAGAATGCCCCTTTCCCATGGCTGTGGCAGCTACAGACTCATTGGAGCAGTGCGAAGTAAACTTAACCCTTTTATCAACTTATTTATACCTTAGCTAAAAGTTCTTGATGATGTCAGTGCACATCCAAAATTGGGTAGGCTTTCATTCCCCAGCACAATTGTTCCTTGGCTTCACAACACCAGTCTTGTTTCATGGCACCAAAACCAACGTGACTTATCGCAAATTGTGCGACATGCAATGTGCTTGTGAAATGTTATCTTTCTGTCACAAATGTAATTTACATATCTTCATTAACCCAATATACAGTATAGGTAACACTGTGTAAAGTTGGATGTATCCTTTTATACTTATATGGAAAGTAGGAGCAGGAGTAGGCCATTCAGCCCTATACTCTTGCTCTGTCGTTCAACGTTTTCAAGGAATTGAGTGGCACGGTGGCTCAGTGGTTAACACTGCTGCCCAACAGCACCAGGGACCTTGGGGCGATTCCACCCTTAGGTGACTGTCTGTGTGGAATTTGCACATTCTCCCGTGTCTGTGTGGGTTTCCTCCAGGTGCTCCCACAGTCCAAAGATATGCGGACTAGGTGGATTGGCCATGGAAAATGCAGGGTTTTTTGGATGGGGTGGGTCTGTGTGGGATGCTGTTTGAAGAGTCACTGTGGGCTTGATGGGCCGAATGGCCTGTTCCACACTGTAGGGATTCTATGATTGCATGAACATCAACAAAGTTGACTCAGATGGGACTGAGGAGGCAGATGTTAATACAAATGCTTGACATGTTCCCATGTGTTGCATTTAAGGTCAACATCTTGTGGTTCAGTGGATAGCACCCTGTATCTGGGCCAGATGCTCTGGGTTTGATTCCCACACCAGGACTTGATAGTCAGGCAAGTTGTACCCATCACATGGCCAAGCAGATCGATTGTCAGTTTGTAAATATGGCAGGTGGTAAGAGTGAGCGAGTTTCCTGGTCAGCCATCCTGCAGAAGGCAATGGCAAACCACTACACTACTTTGGCCACAAGTGTGCACCAATCCAATGGACGTCCATGGTTCTACCCTGGGAAAAGAGGACAGGAGGAACAATAGATGAACAAAACTTCTAGATCGTGCTCAACCCAGTTTTAACTCTGAATAAGAGAAAGGGTGTTGAATGAGTTTAACATCTCACACCGTGAGGTAGCCAATAGCTAAGGTGGTCAGTTCAGTGACCTTGTCATTAAAACATGATTAATTGAAAAATATTACTATATGACTATAAGCATGAAGTCTGAAGTCAGTTAAGGGTAATAGTGAAATCCTAGTTGAGTGGATATTTCACTTGCTTGTAGCTGCATGTATAAAGATTCCTTATGATTTCATTTGGACGTTCTACGTACCTTATTTAAAAGGCAATGTCAGTAACAGTAAGGAGCCTTGAGTTTCCTGTCATAGTTATCTTGCCATATTGCAAAACCCATTTTTGTTACAGTATTGATTTAAGTATAAAATCAAAAATAAAAAATACACACAACAATTCAGTCTGAAACACGTCAAAGGTCTTGTAAGCTGCTTCCATTTTTATTCAATTAATTAACAACTGGGTTGAAATGGAAGCCAATAGAAACATTCCAATTTTATCAATATCGGTCTACTGTCTCCACTGAGCAGGGTCCTCATATACTATTCCAGGAAATTGGAATCATTTAACATGTTCACAAAGGAAGATTGAATATTGGTGTTCAATATTATGCGGAGTTTGAGAGGGCAAATCAGGAGGAACTGCTTTCATTCCCAGGAAGGTCAGTAATCAAGGCAGGTAGATATAAAGGAGTAAATTACTGCAGATGCTGGAATCTGTACTGAAAACAAAAATACTGGAGATCACAGCACGCCAGGCAGCATCCATGGGGAGAGAGACCAAGCTAATATTTTGAGTCCAGATGACTCTTCATCAGAGCTGATGTGAAGTGTGGAGGGGACAGCATTTATGTATTGGCGGGGTTTGGGGTGGTGTGGGGAGTGCTGGGGAAGAAAGGGCGTTAATAGTGCACATTAAGTAATTAGATATGTATTTGAAAGGAAAAACATGCAGCACTAAGAGAAAAGCGTAGGGGAGTGAGGCTGGTTAGATCACCCGTTCAAAGATCTAGTACATGAACTGAATGCTGTCCAATGCTGTATCAGTCTAAGACTAGTTAGCAATGTTTTGACCACTGCCAGTTTGAGTCCCTTTCAGTGCTGTTGTATAAAAGACAACAGCCTTTCATTCATGTGATGTCCCTTGATTTGCCCAAAGATATTATCTTACCAACGTTTTTCAGCAAGTGAAAGGATCATGCTGCAATTTTGAATGCTCTGTCGGATTGATTACCACTGTAGCAATGCAACCATATCCGGCAGAACAAAGAACCTCTGAACAGACTGTTATCCGTAGAATTGATGTCGTGTTCTGGCCACATTTTGACCAATCTGGAAGATGATTGACCTAGTGAGAAAAAAAATTTCCCTCTCATGCACACAGGTTGGACTTGGGCTACAACCACCCCCTATGATAGTGGGCTCCACATTCTTACCACTCTTTGGCTGATAATGTTTCTTCTGAATTGCATATCGGGCTTCTTGCTGACCAGCTTTCTATTTTGATCTCTAGTTATGATCTTTCCCACAAGAGGAAATATTCTCTCTGTATCCACTTTTCTGGCTTCCAATTTTTGGTGTCAACAACATAATCTTTCATGGCCTTGGTTTCAAAAAGCTCTTCCATCTATTTGTTAGTCACCGCCTTTTATTATGAGTACTTGCAGTTCAGTGTCATTTCAGTTTGAATAGGAATCACACAGAGGGTGGTGCATACATGGAACGAGCTGCCAGAGGAAGTGGTAGAGGCAGGTACAATTACAACATTTTAAAGACATTTGGACAGGTACACGGATAGAAAACGTTTAGAGGGATATGGGCCAAATGCAGGGAAGTGGAACCAGTTCAGTTTAGGAAACCTGGTTGGTATGGACAAGTTGGGCCGAAGGGTTGTTTCTGTGCTATATGACTCTATGTTGGAATGTTGTTGGAATGTAAATTGGATAAAATGACAATGCTGCGTCTGCATAGACCTTGCAAAGATAATTTTTAAGTCCAACATCTTTATAAGCAATACATGTTATGGACCAGACCAAATCCCCTCAAAATATATGAAGATAGCTTAGATCCTAATTTTTTCTTATTTTAAAGGCATGTGCCAGGCGTTGCATTCTGGATGCAATTCGATTGGTCAAACTACCAGATTTGAAGGAAAACACACTTTATTCATACACGATAGTTGAAATACAATAAAAGAAAGAAGAAATTGGGATAACTTAACTCCCTCAGAAAACTTAACAGAATAATAGGTTATTTAACTACTAAACAGTAACATTTCCAATATAGCAACATCCCATAAACACGCTCTTGGCAAAGGTAAATATAGTAAAATAGCTTGCCTCACATGCGATTCCAACAGCAGGAAGAGATCCTCCAGTTTTTAACTGTAACAGGGAGAGGAAAACCAGCTTCCACATCCAGCTTCAAAACACCAGCATCAACTGCTACTGAAAAGCTAAAACTAAAAATCTTGGCTCTGGGGAGGCTTCACACCACCCATTCAGGCTGCTTCTACTGTTAAAAAAAAAATTCCAGGGCTTCTCAAGCTGTTTACTCTATTGAATTCAAATAGACACCTCTACGCCTCTATCTTAAAACCTCTCATCAGAAAACAACAGGATAAAATACACTTCTTAAAAGCTATAGTATCATCAATTACACTTCCTCGCTAATTGCTTTGGATTTGCTTTCTTTGCAGACTAACAACAGCAATGCCTTTTGGCTGCATAACGCTCGGTGACAAAAAGGATTACAATAACCCCTCGGACGTAACGGACAAATATGATTTGGGACAAACAGTCAAAACGTAAGTATACACCAAAGCCATTGAGGGATTATATGTTGGGTTATAATTTCTGCCTCCCTTTCGCTTACGCACAGAAAAATGTGCAACTCAAGAGTAAATTAGAAAACTTAGCAATTGGAAATAGGAAGCAGATGGATGTGAACAATATTTGGCACTGGAACTTTAACCAGACCTAATGCGACTTTATAGAATAGTAAATCTAAAGATGAATCACATTGATAATTCAAGGAGACATAGTGAATTTGGAACTTGCCCTTTCACTTCTGGGTCTTGCAATAGAATCAAATTCGTTGAAATAGAAATCTCTGCTTTTTGTCAGTAGTAAAGGTCCTATATTTTCGGTAATTATAGTTTCAGCAATTATTAGAGTTAAGAACATTACTAAAAAGTATTGAGATAGAAAAGACCATTTGGCTCACCAACCAGTATAGAGGGAAATAAGATATTGGATTACATAGGGGAAAGAGCAGCATTGAACTTTAAATGTGGTTAATGGGTTGCTGCCTATAGATTCCATGTGAAATGTCTCATTAAGTTTTGGTTGCCTACACACAGGCAGAAAGGTATTTCTCTCGAGTGTTTAGGGCAATGAATGTGTTGATTCCAGGTACTAGAAAGTAAAGTTACGGAACATTTGTTTTAAATGGACAAGTGATTCCAAGGTGACCCATTTAAGGATTTCAAGATTCGGAAGGGACCCAACAGCTTTGAACCACTGAAGTTTACATGAGCTGATAATACTGCAAAATATGCAGGCATGATCCCAGATTTGATCCAAGTGTATCCCTGGTCTCACAGAACATGCAGCATAATAGGACATTCAACCCTACTGAGGGCAGCATTGTAGCACAGTGGTTAGTACTGCTGCCTCACAGTGGCAGATCTCTGGGTTTGATTCCAGCCTTGGGGAGTCTGTGTGGAGTTTGCACATTCTCCCTGTGTCTGCGTCGGTTTCCTCGGGGTGCTTTGGTTTCCTCCCACGGTCCAGAGACGTGCAGGTTAGATGGACTGGCCATGCTAAATTGTCCATAGTGTACAAGGATGTGGGGACCAGGTGGATTAGCCATGGAAAATGCAGAGTTACTGGGATAGGGTACGGGGCTGGGTTTGGATGCTCTTCGGAGGGTTGGCATGAACTCAATAGGCCAAATGATCTCTTTCCGCATTGTAAGGATTCTATGATTGTAGTCCATGTTTGTGCTTATATCTGACACATGCTTTCTTCTGCTCCATCTGCCTCTCAGCCTATTTATTTTCTGTAACATAACCGTCTACTTTCCTTTTTGGAAGCAATTTGCCCATGGTGGCTCACTAGTGAGTTTGAATTGTTCTCTGAGTGAGGAACTTACTCCTTACTGATTATTAAATCTAATGGGGAAATATTACATATCCTTAACACTGACTCCAGTCTGTGTGAAATATCATGGCATCGGGTCAAAGATGGTCAAGGGAACCTCTTATCATTACCACCCTTTGCCCCAACTTCAGCTGATGAATCCATCCTCCTCCACAATGAACACAAATTTGAAGAAGCACTGAGGATGACAAGGGCACAAAGTCTTCCCTGGTTGGCGGATTTGAATGCCTATCCCCAAGAGTGGCTCAGTAACACCAAGGAGGCATTGGCCTAGTGGCATTATCGCTGGACTGTTAATCCAGAGACCCAGGTAACATTCTAGGGACCCAGGTTCGAATCCTGCCATGGCAGATGGTAGAATTTGAGTTCAATCAATACCTGGAATTAAGAATCTAATGATGACCATGAATCCATTGTCAATTGTCAGGGGGGAAAAACCCATCTGGTTCACTAATGTCCTTTAGGGAAGGAAACTGCCATCCTTACCTGGTCTAGCCTACATGTGACTCCAGAGCCCACAGCAATGTGGTTGACTCTTAACTACCCTCTGGGCAATAAATGCTGCCCTCATCCCGTGAATGAATAAAGAAGGAAAAAAAAACTACTAACTGAGTGGGTGGGACCCTAAATGACATAACTGCAAGATAAGATCTGTGGAAGTTGGTAAGGCAAGTAACAGAGGGAACAAACTTACTTCATCTTGTCCTCACCTGCTATAGAAGAAAGTATCCATGACAGTTTCAGGAGGAGTGACATTCTTATGGAATCTTCAATCTTCACATTGAAGATACCCTCCATTGGGTTGTGCAGCACTACTATTGGGATAGATTTTCAATTCACCTAGCAACTCAGAACTGGGCACCCATGAGGCACTGTGGGCCATCAGCAGCAACAAAATGACCAGCATATCCCTCACTCCACCGTTAGTATCATGCCAATGAAGAGTGCAGAAAGGTATGCCAGGAGCAGCACCAGGCATACCTCAAAAAGAGATGTCAACCTGGTGAAGCTTATTATAATTTATGTTACAACCTGGCTTGAGACCTGTAAATTTTTATTTAAGTGGACAAAATTTGAGATCCCAGGTACTTATGAAGAGAATAAAGCAACCTTATTCCACGGTTTTGAACAAGCGACAGTAAAATTTGCGATACAAAGTCAGAATTCTAACACAATCTAGGACATATACAACTTATATTCTAACATCAGAATTAACCTAAGTAAAATATAGGTAAAAAAACAAACTGTGGTTGAATGCCCCACAGAGGACAAGAAATAGCAAATGCTATCAAGACAGATCCCATGGATTTTTTAGTACCCCCTCAGATGTTAATTACACTGTGGTTTGTCAAATCTCATTAAAACGTTGCAAGAGATTCAAATTTTTCTCTTCCAAGAGCCTAGCTTCCAAACTGCTTCTCAAGGCAATCCATTAAGGGCTGCCTCAATAGCTGCTCATATTCTAGAAACTCACCCTCCTTTACTGGGACTATATTTTTACTTTTTAAAACTTTGTATTCCTATCCTAAACTGTTTATTTTACTCTTTCAATTCTGTAACAAACACTTAAAGTATCTGTACCTAGGTACACCAAAGCAGCAACATTACAAACTTTTCACTGCACTCATTCAAGTGCACATGACAATAAAGGCTATTCTATTCTTCTATTCTTTTCCCCTGGATGTTTTGAACTGCACTGCAGTCCCTACTCACAGACACAACTCCAAACTTTCACAGACTGCTAGCTTCTCCAAGCTAGTACTCATATGGTTTGTTTTCTGAACTCTACCCTTGCTCAGCTTCACCAAACAAATTTTCATCTCCTACTCTCTGCTGTACTGAAGTATTAGTTCCTTACAGGCTTCTTCTGAGCTGCTCACAGCTTCCAGGACATTCCTGATTCTCCATTCCAGCACTTAGCTAACATCTGCTGGCTCCATTGAGTCCTAGCTGCACAGAGCTATCCAACCATCTTGGAACTTCTCCCTGAGCCCAACTATATACAGCCAGTGACCTTCTCAGCAGCACTTGACTGTTTGAAGCCTGTCGCTGACTCCCTCTCTGACTCTAATTGACTGTAACCTTTGAATTGCTTTTCAGTGATCTGTGAACTGTTTTATGTGACCTGATGAAAACCTCACAACCCCCTCCTTGTTCCTCAGCAATATTGACGATAACTTTTTTTGGAATCGTCAAATGTACCAATCCCTAGGAACTCTCTGTTCCTTGAATATTACAATTTCCACCAATTGTTGGCATATGTAATACTAATGGACGCAAAAGTCATGGATTCTACCATGAGCAACAACACATACATGCCAAAATAGGAGCTGGAGCTAAGCGATCCAGTAACCACTGGATTTGATCTAAACTCTCGCAATCCTCCAACATTCAGCTGTTAATGCTAGTGGATTATTAAACACCTACTTGGAGGAGGGTCCTCCAATCCTCAAAGATGGGGGAGCCCAGCACATCAGTACAAAAGACAAGGCTGAAGCATTGCAAGTACCTTCAAACAGTAGTGCTCAGCAGGTGGAGGTCGCCAATGCCACAGATGCCTACCATCAGCTTATACTTTTTACTCCATGTAATATCAAAATTGCCTGAAGGTATGGGACACTCTGATAACATTTCAGCAAAGCACTTGTGCTCCCAAACCTACTGTGCCCCTAGCCAAGCTGTTCCAGTACAGATACAGCACCGGCATCTACCCAGAAATGTGGGAAATTGTTGTGTCCACAAAAAATCTCCAGGGCATTGGCTATGAGGAAAGGTTAAAAAGACTAGAATTGTTTTCACTGGAAAGACGGTGGCTGAGAGGTGACCTGATAGAGGTCTACAAAATTATGAGAGGCATAGGTAGGGTGGATAGTCAGAGGCTTCTTCCCAGGGTTGTAGTTTCAATTACAAAGGGGCACAAGTTCAAGATCAGAGGGGGAAAGTTTAAGGGAGATGTGCAAGGGAAGTTTCTCATGCAGAGAGTGGTAGCAGCCTGGAATGTACTACCAGAAGAGGTGGTGGAAGTGGTCACAATGAAGACGCACCTAGATGGGTACATGACTAGGAAGGGAATAAAGGGACACCGATCGAAAAATGGTAGGTTTATTTTTAGATTAATTAGGGCATGATGGTCGGCACAGGCTTGGAGGGTCGAAGGGCCTGTACCTGTGCTGTACTTTTTCATTTGTTCATTTATTTATTCAAATCCCACCTGACCAAATACCACCCCATCAGTCTAATCTCAAACATCAGGGATGTGCTGGAAGGCATTGTCAATAGTGCTATCAAGCAGCAATTGCTCAGCAATGACCTGCTCACTGACACCCAGTTTGCTTTACACCAAGGGATACTTAGGTACTGACCACATGACAGCCTTGGCACAGACATGGGTAAAAGAGATGAATTCCAGCTTCTGCCCCTTGACATCAAGGTGTCATTTGACCAACAATTGCATCAACAACCCAAGCAAAACTGGAGTTAGTGGGAAAGAGGGAAAGAGAAAGTTGGTTGTGATTGTTGAAAGTCAATCTTTCAGTCCCACAAAATCTCCCTGAGAGGTCCTCAGACTAATGTTCCAGCCTGAACCATCTGCAGCTGCTTCATTGATGATCTTCCCTCCATCATACTGTCAGAAATGGAATAT